AACGCGATTCTCATTGCCCGGGTATCCGACTAGACAATAATAAATAAAATAAGTAATAAATAAAAAATGATTATAGATAAATCGACCTGGAGGGATCGCGAATCGAACGGAAGCATTGTGACGCAACGAATCTATTATAGGAACATTAATATCAATATATATACATGCAGTACATATCGGACATTATTTAACAAACAGTCTATACCGTGAGGAAATTCTAGTGCGATAAAAAAAAGATGCACAGAAAAGGTAGGATACAGAGACAAATTAATTTCGATATTGAAGCATCCGAGAATAATGTAAACAAAATGTGCATACAGGGTGTCTCGATCAACATCATTCCTCCACCAGTTCTACCATTTTTATCGCTTTGGAAAATCTGGTCTATTATACACGAATGATATCATGAATTTGTTCGTGAAATGAAAGATTCTTTATATTGTACGGACTTTTAAATACGAAATTGTGATTAAAATCGAAAATGTTAATATTCATTAATTTTTCCATTTGTTCTACATATGCACAAAGAAAGATTAATGATTCACATCGTTATGTTATGCTAAATCGACGTAACAAAGCAAAGCGAAGTCAGACATACGTTTCCACTGAACAAACGATATTTTCCAAAAAAATAAAAATCCTAGAAATGCTTGAAGAAATGAGAACATGAGAAACTTCCTGTACACTTGCAGTCAGATTGTACATCAGACGTATCGCGGTAATAAAAAGATTCACAATAAACGCGCAACGTTAATGAAAGAAGCGTATATATCAAGACAATGGCATGATAGATATAATAATAAATATATAATGTATACATATACACGTATACGTTCATAGACATGTGTAGAAATACAGTATATTTCACCGAAGCGTATAAAAACTAATGAAACTTCAAGAAACTGTTTAAATGGAAATTAAATGATGCGAAGGTCCATAATTTTAACTGGAGGCGAATTACAATTTATACTGTTAATTTAATTACGTTTTTGAGACATGGAATTATATTAATTAACATTATATTAATTTACTTTGATAGTATGTTTAAAGACAGATTTATTAATCTATAAAATGCAAACTTTCTTTTCATGACATTCGAGATATCGTAAATAGAATTTTTTTAAGAAAAGAGAACCAATGTTTTCGAAAGTATAGGAATCGATGACAGTTTCTGTCGGGATGATCTCAAGTATAATGAATGAAATATTTCAATTTCTAAATATAGTTAAAAACTATTTGTTCCTTATTAAATTCAAAACATATGTACAAAATTTCTGTTAAACTTGGAAGTGGATGATTCCTGAGATGATCTGAAGTAACTTTTCCTTAATGAAAATGCTGGCTGCGGCTTCGTTAACGACTTATTAACGAAAAACACAGAGTTCGCTGGAACGCGCCAACTGTACTCGCTCTCTGATTGGTCCGTGTTTTTCGCTAATAACTCATTAACGAAGCCGCAATCATCATTTTCGCTAAAAAGAAAAACAGTTACTTCAAATCACCTCAGGAATCACCCTGTATGTGTCTTATGGACCGTTGAATTCGTTTTTAAGTATGCTATCAAGTGGTCTAAAAGAAAATATTTTTGTCTCAGCCAAAAAGTTTCATCACTTAGATCATATAATTTCCATTGAAAACTTTTTTGTTACCTTCAATAGTTTCAAAATACTTATGTGAGACACACCGTATACATATGTATAATTATACATAATAGGCTGAATAAAGTATATACAAACTGTTTTCTTCGAAAAAGGTAGCGGTTATTAACAACTTTATTTTCTTAGTTAAGCAGGACGGTAGAAATTTTCAGACGTCATTTAATCTGAATAAATTGAATGACATGAAAATTTCTTTCTTATTCAGACAACTGAACACATTGAAAAAATATTTAGTTCAAATACTTATTTTTATGTTCTACATAGGTAAAGAGTTTCGATGATAATGACTATTCATAATAATATACACCAATTTCTTTGTTGTATATATATCTTCGGAATATTCGTTATATTCGCAAAATTAGATGAAACTAGTTTTTTTCTATAAATTTGTGTTTTTTTTAATTACTTCCATCGGCAGATCTCAAAATTGAAACTTTGGAATTTGCAGAATTATGCTAGAATGCTTCTCGAGTAACT